GTCGATACCAGTTTCGACCAGTCAACGGACACGCCAAAGCGGGACGCCTGGTTTACATTGGTATGACGCGAAATCCGTAACAATGGATACTGAGTACGCCCCGGGTTGAACTTAACTAAGTTAAGGTAAAAAGATGAATAACTTAGAGGCACATGGTTAGGTTAATAAATAAAATCAAATTCATCTAACCTAGAGTTGTAAAATGTTACAATTGGAAATAGTTCCTACCTGAAATAGTTTAACTATAGGGCAAGATGCAAAGCACAACTATAGTTAGATGAAATAAGGATCTAGGCCCAATATAGGATTTTATTTAGAACAACCTAACAAACCAAGGATTGTAATTGGATTACAATTGGAAATAAGTTCCTACCTAATTAGTTTATAAACTGTAGGGCAAGATGCAAAGCACAACTATAGTTAAATGTAATATGGACCTTGGCCCACTAAGATATCTCTTAGGAGAAGTCTCGAATCAACAGGTTACGTACTTGAGGGTAGTTGATTTTTTAAAATAGTGGGAGAGTTATTAGTTAAAGACCTAGCTAATTACTTAGATTCTTGATATTAACTATCTTGCAAATTATATGTAGATGTCTAATAACAACCATAACCTCACTCTTCGCTCGATCATCGACAAAGATAAGTTGACCGGCTCTAACTTTTTAGACTGGCAAAGAAACCTCGTTATCGTTCTCCGACTCGAGAAGAAAGAATACGTGCTCGAACGAGCCATCCCACCTGTCCTGGCCGCCAATGCTTCTAGAGCTATCAAAGATACTTATGAGAAGCATGTTGATGATGACAATCAGGTGGCATGTCTCATGTTGGCTACGATGACTTCTGACCTTCAGAAACATCACGAGAGTATGAAGGCGTACAATATGATCATACACCTAAGACAGCTCTACCAAGGACAAGCTAGGCATGAGAGATTCCAAATCTCCAAAGCTCTCTTTAGTTGCAAGTTGTCAGTTGGAAACCCCGTTGGTCCGCATGTTCTCAAGATGATTGGCTACGTCAAAACTCTTGAGAAATTGGGTTTCGAACTAAGGACTGAACTTGCAACTGATCTAATTCTGCAATCGTTGCCAGAATTGTACAAGCAGTTTGTGGTTAATTACGAGATGCATGAACTCGATAAACCACTGCCAGAACTTTTGAAGATGCTGCAAACTGCCGAAGAGAGCTTGACGAAAGGAAAGGGGAATTCTATCCTTCTGGTTCAAGGAGGAAAAGGCAAGAAGAAGTTCAAAAAGGCAAAGAAGAATGGGCCTAAAGGCAAGGGTAACACCGAGCCAAAGTCCAATTCTTCCAAGCTCAAGCCTAAAGGTGGAGTGGCCAAAGATTCTATTTGTCATCACTGTGGTGAAGTTGGCCACTGGAAGAGGAATTGCAAGTAGTATTTGGCAACCAAGAAAAAGGGTGAAGCTTCTGCTTCAGGTACAATTGTTGTCTAGACTTAAACTAATCTACAATCTCTTCAAAAGTATTTGATACTTATAGTATTGCAAATCGTTGCAGGAACTGAAGAGAAGAAGTAGGAGTGTTGATCTTGAAGATGCAAGGGTTGCAGCTCAGTGGCGCATTAGTTTAAGTTTTAGTATTTGATCAATTTTCAATTTCGAACTGATGTTTACTTATTGTTTTAAGTATTATTGGTTATTTCAATAAAAAGACAAATTGTTGCTCCATTTATAGAAGTATTTCATATGATCAAATATTTTGCCTCACAAGCATATCGCAATACAACAACTATACTAAGGCTACAAAGTACAAATATTAATCAGTTAATAAGTTTGTCACAAAATTATGAATGAAGTGATAACCACTTAGAGATATAAGGATATCTTTATAAAGGTTATAGCCAAGTACCCTGTCTATTTAAATTTTCGAAATTTAAACTTGCCATTAGCATTAATAAAGCACACTTAATAAAGATCAAGTGATATTAATGCCAAAGTTACATAATAGGAAAGACAAAAGTGATACGATCATGAAATTGACGTTCCCTCAAACGTTATCTAGATAACGTGACTAAAATAGTTAGTCTAATAAAGAGGATTATGTAACCTTACCAAATACTACTGAACCTTAAACACTTAAATGATCATTGTAGACTCTGAAAGGAAAGAGCACTTGGAAACTGTTCCAAAACGATTCCTTCCTTAAATAACAAGTAATGAAAGTAAGTCTCATATGAATGAAGACACTTTAAACACTTGTTATGGATGAGTCTATGTTGGGAAAAATATTATAGATTCTGATGATGATGTATTTAGAATGTAATAGGGACTTTAGGTCTCCCCCAATATTCAATGTAATCTTTCTTTTTAGAAAATATTGTTAAAACCGAGTTCTTGAGATTTCCAATAAAGTTGTGATATTTCTTTAAGCGGTTTGATGCCTGAAGACTTAATCAAATTCAGTGATTTGGAAATTGGATGTCTTGATCGGAAATGTCAGAGACAAGTAAGGATTTCTCAAAGCGGATGAAAATCCTCCAATCCAGAAGACTAAATGATAATCGGATGTCTCGCTACAACCCGCTGAAGGCTAAGTCATCCAAGTCGGAAGACTAGCGCATATCTCTTTCTCACCCGGAAGACTGAGAATGACTCTTCCGGATTTGTCAGCTAAGAATCGGATGCCTCAAGAAAGACCGGAACTCTCAAAAGCAGATAAGTGAGAAAAGACTTAGAAAATTATCTAAGTCTTGAATGAAGAATTTCTACCCGTTGGTAAGGAAAAATCAATCTCTTGGTTTTCAACGGCTAGATTGAAGATAATTATGCTGATTCAAGAACAAATGACTTGAAGACAAAGTCTGGACCTCTCAAATTAAAGAGCCTGTCCAGGATTCTTAAACAAGCACTAGAAGACAAACAGAGTAAAGTGCTACAGTCCAGAATTCTTGAACAACATCTAGAAGACGGATTCTGTGGAAGAAGGAATCTCTCCTCAAACAATTGGGCATGTCCAAACACCCATTCCAATGAGGAATCTTCAAATCACAATCTTCATTCAAAATTGAAGCTAGCAAATGCAACGGATAGTCTATTTTGACTCAATGGATAGATTATCCAATCCAGCTATAAATAGCATTCTTGGAAGACTGGAGAAGACACGAACATACAAACGATGAGACATAATAACACAACGAAGCAATCTCTAACAAGAAAGCTATCTCATTTATAGTTAGCCCAAAAAGCTTGATAAAGAGAGATTTCTAAACTCCTTATCCAGAAGCAAACTTCTCCTCCTTCCAAAGAGCTATAGTGTAAACACTTGAAGGTTTCCTTGCCTCAAGTATCACACCACGTTGAAGGATATAACTTTTGATCAAACTTCTTTATTAAAAGGGGGTAGGTCAATTTTCTTACAAGTTGATCTTCCAAGTCCTATTATTCGGACCTTGCAGTTGTTGAAGAAGCGTGACCTTCGAAGGAACAACAAAGCCAGCACGAGTGGAGTAGCAACATTGGCCTTGCGAAGATATACCGTGCAGAAATTCACACAAGTGTAATTGTTGGTTCATTATTCAACAACAAACTACATAGTGGATTTTGAGGACGTAGAAGGATTACCCCACCTTCGAACCTCGTTAAAGTTTGCGTGTCTCTCTCCTTTATCTTTACTCTTACTTGCAATTATATTAACTGTGAAAACTAACCCATCCATATTGATTACTGCTCATACTACCCACCAAATTCCGCACACAATCTATAGTTCACAAGAACTCTAGATTAACACTCATTTTCACGTTTTCAAAAAGAAACAAAAAAGTTTTTAAATTTGTAACAAAGTCTATTCACCCCCCCTCTAGACTTTGTATATCACCACTTTGGGACCACCAATTGGTATCAGAGCAAACTTCTCAATATCTACGTCTAGATTAACGAGAAGCGATCATAATGGTGAACAATATGGATCACGATTTGCCCAAGTTTTCTCTTCTAGGTTATGATGATTGGAAGATCATGATGGAAGCACATCTCTACGCTCTACATGACTGCATGTGGATGGTGCTTGAGGATGGACCATTGAAAATCCAAATGGAGAATCCTGAGAGGAATCTAGCCACTCCAGATGTAGTCCAATACATTCCAAAGCCCAAGGAAAAATGGGATGATAGAGATTGCAAAAAGCACAATCTGGACAACGTCGCCAAAGCAGCCACCTTCAAGACACTTGATCCCATCACCTTCTCCAAAATTAAGCATCTCAAGACTGCCATGGAGATATGGCAAGGTCTTGGGAAGCTATGTGAAGGATCAGAGGACTTGAGAAAGCAGAAGATAGAGGTCCTGCTTGAGAAGTTCAAAAGCTTCAAAATGCTTCCCGGAGAATCATTTGATATGTTGGACGAAAGATTCCACAAAATCTTGAATGATCTTGCATCACTTAACCACGTTCTTTCTCCCAAAGAAAAGAATGTAAGGTTGCTAAGATCACTTCCAACCGAGTGGTACACCAAAGCCACAGCCATGGAAGAAGGAAGAAACCTGGAAAACTACACTGTCCAAGGTCTCCTTGATGAGCTCAGAACCTATGAGCACGAGCTGAAGAAGAAGAAGGAAGAACAAGTCACTCCCTTCCCCACGGCACTGATGACAACTCCAAGAGTCCCATCAAGTGAAGGGACATGCCCAAGGAATTGTGACACACCTTCCTCCAGCCAGCCGTCAAGCTCAAAAATGGAGAACTACGATGAGGAATTTGCCATGATGGTTAAGCAATTCCGGAAGTTCAAGAAGTTCTTCAAGAAGGCTGACTCAGTCAGAAGGCCATCCAAGGGAAAGCCACAAGTAAGTGACTCCCCTCCTGAATCTTATTTGTGTTATAACTGCAGGAAGCCTGGCCACTGGAAGTCAGCATGCCCGTACCCAAAGGTGGAGAAGTACGGAGAAAGAGAGAGGAACGAGAAGAAAAGGAAGGCAATGGTTGCTGCTGAAAGTGACAAGTCATCCAGCTCAAGCTCGGATGAAGAAGCCCTCGTCTGCATGGAGCGCAGAGTTGAGAAGTCCAACCATGAGGATAGGTGGACTATGTCAGAAGATGACACTCTCTGCCTAATGGCCAAAGATGATGCTGATCAAGAGGTAACTTCACAAACCTCCTGCTCATCTTCTTATGAAAGCATACCAACTTCTGAAAATCTTTTTGACCAGTTCAAAAAGATGATGGAAGACTTTGAGAAAATAAATCTCAAACATTCATCCTTAACAGAGGAGAACAAACTATTGAGTGAAGAGAATCTCAAGTTGACTGAAGGTCGGAAAAGTCAACTGGATGAGATCACTCAACTCAAGACTGAAAATGAATCTCTCTCTGAAAAGGTGAAATCCCTTAACAAAGAGCTAGGGATACTTAAGTCCAAAGAAGCAGTGGACAAGCTTCTTGAAACGACCAAACACAAGGGTCGTGAAGGACTTGGTTTGACCCCTCTAGTTCCAAAAAGAAAGGGAGAACAACTTTCATCCCTCCTAAATCTTTTGCCAAACCAAATAAGCAGAAAGGAAAGGAAAAGGAGAAACCAACAGAAGTTCCCAAAAAGATAGTCCCTCCTAAGAACTATAGGAAGCTGGACAGACCTCAAAGAGGAAATAATTTCAGAAGAAAACCTTCTAACCCCCACTATACACGAGGCTATACTCATTATGGGGTAGATAGGAGTTTTCCAAGAAATTCTGAGTGGAGAACTATGCCAAGATATAGTCATCCTCCACCCCAGAAACTATTTGTGCCACCTAAGTATGCTTATAACCGTCACAGGTCACACTATGCACAACCTAGACAAAACTATAGGTCTTATCAACCTAGGTTTGCTAGGAGGAAACAGGAAATTGCACCACCTACACGTAGGAAGTTCTATGCCTACAACTCTGATTACAATCCCAACAAGTTTAGAGCTGCAAGGAAAATTCCCTGCAACTTCAAACTTGATGTAGGGACACACACCATTAACTACTCCGGACCCAAACTTAATTGGGTACCAAAATCTTCCTCCTCCTAATGCAGGAAGCCGCTAAGTACCCAGGTGTCTGGTACTTAGATAGTGGCTGTTCAAGACACATGACGGGTGATGCGAGCCTTTTGAGCAATCTAATTCCCTGTGATGGTCCAAGAGTTACTTTTGGAGGAAGCAATGATTTTGGCCTTACTAAAGGGCTAGGAAATCTGGTGTACAAGGGACTAACCATCCAAGCTGTATCTTATGTTGAAGGTCTCAATTACAACCTTCTTAGCATAAGTCAGTTTTGTGATAAAGGTTACTCCTTGGAATTCTGCAAGGACATGGCATCTCTCAAGAACATCTCAACAAATGAAGTCATTCTCACTGGGAAGAGAATCAGAAACATCTATGAAGTAATGTGGGACAATGTCAAGGAAGCATGTCTAATCAGCAAAAGTGACACTAACCTTCTATGGCTTTGGCATAAGAGGTTGAGTCATCTCAACTTCAAAACTCTCAACAAGCTGTCCAAAGAAGCGTTAGTAGAAGGTCTTCCCAAAGCTATATTCAGGAAGGAAAGCATTTGTGATGATTGCCAGAAAGGAAAGCAAGTCAAGTCTACTTTCAAGGCAAAACCGGCACCCTCAACTACAAGGATATTAAGCCTTATTCACATGGACTTATTTGGCCCTGTTACACCAATAAGTCTAAGTGGAAAGAAATATGTCCTGGTGGTAGTTGATGATTACTCAAGATACACGTGGACAATCTTTCTCAACAGCAAAAAGGAAACTCAAGGGAAACTCACTAACTGCATGAAGCTGATTCAAAATCAAGCAAGTCAGACCATTCAGAAGATCAGATCTGACAAAGGCACAGAATTCCTGAATGAAATCATCATTCACTACTGTGAAGAAAATGGAATTCTTCATCTAACATCCGCAGCAAGGACGCCTCAACAGAATGGTGTAGCTGAAAGAAGAAACAGAACCTTGAAGGAAGCAGTGAGAACCATGCTAACAGAAGCTTCCTTACCAAAGAGGTTCTGGGCTGAAGCTGTTAACACAGCTTGCTATACTCAAAATAGGAGTATGATTTATAAAAGGCACAACAAAACTCCCTATGAACTGTGGAACGGGAGAAAGCCTAATATATCATATTTCCATATTTTTGGGAGCAAGTGCTTTGTGTTAAACAATGGGAAGAATCATCTGAACACTTTTGATGAGAAATCAGATGAGGCCATCTTCCTAGGATATTCCATGGTGAGCAAGGCATTCAGAGTTTTCAACAAAAGAACCATGATCACTGAAGAGTCAATACATGTTATTTTTTATGAAAAACATGTGGTTGACAAGCCATCAAAGCATGATCATGAGGTTCTGGATCTATCAGACAAGGATGAAGAAGTCAATGAAGCAGATAAAATGAAGCCCACGGAGTTCATTCCATTCAGAAGTCTACCACTGAAGACTTCACAGAGAAATCCGGATTCAGACAGTGCTGAGCCTACCGGAAATTTTGGCCAGCCTTCCAATATTCCGGATCACTCAAACGGCGACAATTTCGGAAATGGCGACCCAGTGCCAATCCATCCGGAAACACCAACAACTTCTGTTCTTCAACCAGAAGCTGAACTAGATCAACCAATCAATCCCAATCAACACAATCTTTGTTGGTTAAGGGATCATCCTCCTCAACAGATCATTGGAGATATTCAATCTGGCGTTCGCACAAGGAGTGCCCAACAGAATCTAGAAGCCATGCTTGCTTGTTTCATCTCACAAGTGGAACCAAAGAATATTGAAGAAGCTCTAGCTGATTCTGATTGGATCAATGCAATGCAAGAAGAACTCAACCAATTTTCCAGAAATGATGTCTGGAAACTTGTTCCCAGCCCTACTCATCAACATGTCATTGGGACAAAGTGGGTCTTTCGGAACAAGATGGATGAAAACGGCGTTGTTGTCAGAAACAAAGCCCGGTTGGTTGCCAAAGGATATTGTCAAGAAGAAGGTATAGATTTTGATGAAACCTTCGCTCCAGTTGCTAGACTTGAAGCTATAAGGCTGTTTCTAGCCTTTGCTGCTCATAAGGACTTCAAAGTCTATCAAATGGATGTCAAAAGCGCATTTCTCAATGGAAACCTAGAGGAAGAAGTTTATGTGGAACAACCTCTAGGATTTGAGTTACACACTAAGGGAGATCAAGTGTATAGACTCAAAAAGGCGTTGTATGGACTCAAACAAGCTCCAAGAGCTTGGTATGATACATTGTCTCAATTCCTTATAGGCAATGGATTTACCAAAGGAGTCATTGACAAAACACTGTTCAAACTACAAGATGGAGAAGATCTCTTATTAGTCCAAATCTATGTGGACGACATCATATTTGGCTCAACTAAGGAAGATCTCTGCACCAAGTTCTCCACCCTCATGCAAGGAAAATTTGAGATGAGCATGATGGGGGAACTCAACTACTTCCTTGGTCTTCAAATCAAACAGAGAAGTGAAGGGACTCTCATCAACAAAGCCAAGTACACAAGGTATCTTATCAAGAAATTCAAAGTTGATCAGAAGTCATCTGTTTCTGTCCCCATGAGTACATCCACCAAGCTTCATATGGATGCAGATGGAAAGGATGTAGATCAAACTCTCTACAGAGGAATTGTTGGATCTCTACTCTACCTTACTGCAAGCCGTCCGGATATCTCATATGTAGTAGGTGTTTGTGCCAGATTCTAGTCAAAGCCAAAGGAAAGTCATCTGATAGCAGCTAAAAGAATTCTTAGATACCTCAAAGAAACTCAGAACATGGGTTTGTGGTATGCTAAGAGCAATTCATTTGAGTTAGTGGGATACTCAGATTCTGACTTTGCCGGATGCAAAGTTGACCGGAAAAGTACATCTGGTACTTGTCAATTCATTGGTGGAAATCTTGTTTCTTGGTTCAGTAAGAAACAAAACTCCATTTCTACATCTACAGCAGAAGCAGAGTACATTGCTCCTGGTAGTTGTTGTGCTCAGATTTTGTGGCTAAAGCAACAACTACTGGACTATGGAGTCAAGACAAAGGAAGTGACAATCTTTTGTGACAATCAAAGTGCTATAGCCATCTCACAAAATCCAGTGCATCATTCTCGCACTAAGCACATTGATGTCAAGCATCACTTCATCAGAGATCATGTGGAAAAGAAAGATATCAAAATTGAGTATATCTCAACTCAAGAACAACTGGCGGATATCTTCACAAAACCACTAAATGAAGCCAAATTTTCCGATTTGCTTCACAAAATTGGTCTATTTCAATTAGACTGAGTGCGGTACACGTGGCAGTCCACTTTCCACGTCAGTCAAAATATTGGGTAGGCACGTGGCCTTGGGAATAGTCAAAAACCCAATCGCCACTAGCCGCATAAAGCGCCCAAATCAAACCCAATCGCCACTATTCAGATCTCAACTGCCCACTCAAAGTTTTTCGTCGTCTTCTTCGCGAGAATTCTGAATTCTCTCAAGAACCCTAAAATTTCTTCAGATTCTTCACTCAAATTTTTGAGAAAATGAAGGTTGTTGGCGCAAATGTCCATTTCCAGAAGTTGGAAGCAAAATGCTCTTCACCGGCGTTCTATCAAAGCTATCTCGAGATGATTGCCGCCCAAGAACTCTCCAAATTCCTTCATATGGAGATCCACCTCAAATATGAAGAAGAAGTTCTTGAATTCTACAAAAATGGAGAGGTCAAGACTGCTCATTCAAAGAAGGACCCACAGAGGACGATTCAAGTCATCAAGTCCACTGTTGGAGGTACCAAAGTGAAGCTTTCGCAGAAGAAATTGGGAGAAAAGCTTCACCTTCCCAACTCTAGAGTTGAAATTGGGAGATTTCCAGTCAAAAATCTGGACTGGAATATTATTGGAATTTCTGGGCAAGTTCCTTCTGGCCCAGTGAAGAAAGCTGATCTAAACAACGACTACAAGCTAGTCCTTGAATTGGTCATCGCATGCCTCGAGTGTGGAAGTGGAGGACATGCTGATGACATCACCCAGGAGAGAGCCTTCATCATCAACGCTCTCATTACCAAATCAAAGGTAAACTGGGCTGCACATTTCTTCAATTCCATCTCAAAGCATCTGGGAAAGCCCAACCAGAAATACCTTTGTCAAGGTCTGTACATTGGACATATTTTGGAGCCTATGGGTGCTGCATCTAAAGGGAAGAAATATGGAGCCAGATATTGGCTATACTACCTGTCTTCAAAAGGGGAAAACAGAGCTGGTGCTAGTGCTGCTGCTGAGGAAAGCTCTTCAGACAATGTCCTACTCATCAATTTGACGAAAACTGCCAAACGGAAGCAAGTGGTGTCTCCTTCTCTCAGTGTAGAAGCACCACAGAACCTTGTTCCAGTGAATCTTGAAGAAGAAGAAGTCTCTGACCAAGGAGAACTTCAAAGGAAGAAGAAGAGGAAAATCTCCTCTCCCTCAACATCTGGAAATGTCAACCCGGATGAGTTGAAGGAGAAGGAACCTGCTGAGGAAACCACTGACCACAACCAGAGTCCTCAACAACTGGAAGAAGAAGCTCATCAAGTCCATAGTCTTCCAACCCCCTCACCTCAACCCCAAACAGATGATGCTGATAACCAATTTTGGCAGCTCTACTATGACTGGAGAGTTTGGAAGGTAGGAAATTCAGCAGAGCAGTTGTTGGGTTGGGACTAACAACTAAAGAATGAGAAGATCATCAAGAAATGCTTAGGACTGCCACTCAACCACAACTGTGAACAAATCTTGGATGATGCCTGGGTATGGCAAAGGAACTATGAAGACCTGCATCTGGAACACTTGGCCACCACACCAGTTTCAGAATTTGAAGTTGATGATGAGGATCCTGCAGTCTACAAGCCAGTCTTCTCAAAAGCCAAAGAAGATCAGGTGGTTCTCACTTCTGAAGCACAGGCTAACTTGGAAACAACAGCTGAGGATTTCCAAATATTTCCGGAAACCTCATCTGCCTTTGAAACGGTTCTGCCTGAAGCTGCAGTCTCTACTCCACAAAAACAGAACCAGGAAGCATCAGATGAAGAACTTCACCAACATCTCCAGTCTCAAGTCCTTGAGATTCTCAGAACTGCTTGTGAGATCTCCAAGCAGCCTGAACTTGAGATCCCGGAGAAGTCAGGAGAAAATCTGGAGCAGTCCACTTTTCCAGAAACAACTGAAGCCCAAGAGGAGCAAGCTGTAGAAGCCCAAAGGAGTTCTGCAGAAGCTGAGAAGGAAACTCAAATGGCAGAACTAGAGGCCTCTAAATCTCCACTAGCCATTTTTGAAAAACAGAATGAAGCTGAAGAAAGAGACTCCCTCTCTAGATATATATCAAATTTTGCGCTTGATGAAGCAGAAGGAGAGTCTGAGAGGACACTAAAGATCGCTGATGAAGAAGATGTACAAGAAGATGCTGAATCTCTTCCTATGCAACTTTTTCAAACACCCTCTTCTCATCAGGTAACCAACTTCCATTTCCATAGCTCTTCCACTCCTACTCTTCTAGATGATGTACCGGAAACCTGGACAAAGAAGGTCCACGGGTTGATTGAATCAGCCCTGGCATCTCAACATGCCTCCTTTAGGCAAGAGATAGAGCAGATGGAAGCCAGGCACAACAAGCTGATAGAGAAATCTGAAGAGAAACACAGCTTAGATCTCAAGGAGATAAGCAAATCAGTGGATAAAACTCTAGAGATCATCTCTCTATTGAGTAACTCAGTGAGCAACACGATGGAGACATATGCATCTGACAGTTATCTTCAACTTAAGGAAGTTAACAAAATCAAAGAGCAAATAGCAAATGTCACCGTCAGCCTACAGAAGCAAATGTCTCTTCTCCAAATGGACATCAGATCAGCTCTGGCAGTGTCTTCAGCAAATCAGGTAGTAACCAAAGACTACTTGAAGGTAATCATTGACAATCAGAAGGAAGCATTCAAACTGTTCAGACTTCTTAACACAAATTCTGGAAATCGCAAGATGGAAGTGATTCTTCAACAACACAGTCCATCCTTGATTCCAGAGCTCCCTATTGCAGTCAAAGAAGGAGAAGTCTCTTACATTCCTTCGCACCTGAACATGACTGACCTAATCCTTGACGCTCAGAGAAGTAATCCGGAGAACTCAACACAGCACCTATCCAGCTCAGGATTGGATGGAACAGAGGCTGTAGGAACAAATGCTGCTCACTTCTCAAATGATAACCAAACAGAGGAGAGACGCAACAACATAAGGCGCATCAAAGAACTATGTGGAAACATGCAAGGCATCAGTGAGATTGCCAAATCTTCAAAGCGCAAGAAGCACTGAAGGCTTTTTTCATCAAACCAGGGGGAAAGTATGTGAAAACACTAATTTGCTTTGATGAAAACACCTTCTTGTTTAAACATTGCTTGATTGGTTTAAACATTGCTTCAATATTTCTCTTAATTGTGCTTATTATGCTTGATTATGCCTATTTCAAGTATAATTTTGAGATTTATTCCTAGGGCATACATTCAGTGGGAATGTAATTCAGGGGAACTTAACTGTTGTTTTGGCTAATAATTGTTTTTGGCAATGAATTATTGATGAACTCTAAGCAATGGAAGATGGATATCTCAGTTTTAGTACTAAAGTTGGAAATCTCCGATTCAGGTACTTTACATAATCTACCTTCCTAAACTGAGCTTTAATCCTTAATTCATTTTCCAACTAGCTCTAAAAGTACTGGTCCTTAGGATTTTTTTTATGTACAGGACTTTGGAAAAATAGTACCACTTTTCTTTTAAAAATAAATTTCATATTCTTTTTGGTACTACCTCGTTCTAATTAGAAATTAGAACTATAGGGAATGAAAAATGATAGTTTTATTTTTTTTTGGGCCTTGAGAACCCAATAGGAATAATTTCCCTTTAGTACATAAGATTTGTTTTTGGGCCACTCTTTTGGGCTTAGCCAAACTAAAACAGTTACGTTTTTTCAAACCAAATGAAACTGATTCTTAATTTGAAAAGTTTCAACACCTTGGTAACTGGTAAAAGATTCCTTCCACTTTTCAACTTCTTGGAAGTTGAAACTCCTTTACTATCACCGTTCCATCTACCCACTTAATGGAACCCGTGAACCTCCCCTCTCTCTACCTCCTCTCCTATTTAAATCAAGACATCCCAATCCATTCATATCACAAACAACTCTCTCAATATGAAAAGTCTTCAAGCTCACTGTCTGAGAAAAACACCAAGAAAAATATCCTCAATGGAGAAATTTTTCTTTCTCACCCTCATAGACGGCAATGGAGAAAAGCCTAGTGAGAAGAAAAGAAATTTAAAGTATATGGTGCAAATCTCGGCAGTAGAGAAAGTATATGGTGAAAATCTCGTATTTTTCAGGATTATACCATACACCTTCTCTGAAACCACTCTCTCCATTTTTCTTTTACTTTTATCCTTTTCTTTTCTTTGTTCTTCAAATTTTTAATTTTTGAGCAGTCGCCACACTCTTCTTACAAGCATTTTTCAAAATTTTTGTGCTGCCTCTGCTCCATTCTCCCAAGCATTTCTCAAAATTACTTTTTCAAAATTTTTCTTTCTTTTCACCATATTTTTCTTTTAAACTCTTTTTCAAAATCTCTTTAAAAACCCTTATTTTATTTTTACAATCAATTCCCTTTTCCAAAACCTTTTTCCTTGTCTTTCTGTCTTGTTCTTTTCTTCCACCGCCGCCTCCTTTCCCTCCACTTTCCTTCGTTTTTTGTTCTTGCTTTTGCCTTTTGGAGAGATGTGTTGCTTCCAAGATCTTGAATATCCACTTTGGATATTAAAGATCTATCAAACGCAACGCCATCCACACTGATAAGCAAGATCTGCTGAAGCTGAAAGCGGTTAATGGCAGAAAATATCACAAAATCTCAAGACAAGACTTGGTTTAGGAATTATTGTAATTTGAATTGTACTTGTTTAAGACTTTTGTTAACAAGCTGTATATTATGAGAAACTAAAAGAAAGTTATAAAATTAGTTCTCAGTACAGCGACCGGAACTCTTAAACACTTGTTTGTCATCATCAAAAAGGGGGAAATTGTTGGGAAAAATATTATAGATTTTGATGATGATGTATTTAGAATGTAATAGGGACTTTAGGTCTCCCCCAATATTCAATGTAATCTTTCTTTTTAGAAAATATTGTTAAAACCGAGTTCTTGCGATTTCCAATAAAGTTGTGATATTTCTTTAAGCGGTTTGATGCCTGAAGACTTAATCAAATTCAGTGATTTGGAAATTGGATATCTTGATCGGAAATGTCAGAGACAAGTAAGGATTTCTCAAAGCGGATGAAAATCCTCCAATCCGGAAGACTACATGATAACCGGATGTCTCGCTACAACCCGCTGAAGGCTAAGTCATCCAAGTCGGAAGACTAGCGCGGATCTCTTTCTCACCCGGAAGACTGAGAATGACTCTTCCGGATTTGTCAGATAAGAACCGGATGCCTCAAGAAAGACCGGAACTCTCAAAAGCAGACAAGTGAGAAAAGACTTAGAAAATTATCTAAGTCTTGAATGAAGAATTTCTACCCGTTGGTAAGGAAAAATCAATCTCTTGGTTTTCAACGGCTAGATTGAAGATAATTATGCTGATTCAAGAACAAATGACTTGAAGACAAAGTCTGGACCTCTCAAATTAAAGAGCCTGTCCAGAATTCCTAAACAAGCACTAGAAGACAAACAGAGTAAAGTGCTACAGTCCAGAATTTTTGAACAACAGCTAGAAGACGGATTCTGTGGAAGAAAGAATCTCTCCTCAAACAATTGGGTATGTCCAAACACCCATTCCAACGAGGAATCTTCAAATCACAATCTTCATTCAAAATTGAAGCCAGCAAATGGAACAGATAGTCTATTTTGACTCAACGGATAGATTATCCAATCCAGCTATAAATAGCATTCTTGGAAGACTGGAGAAGACACGAACATACAAACGATGAGACATAATAACACAACGAAGCAATCTCTAACAAAGCTTGATAAAGAGAGATTTCTAAACTCCTTATCCAGAAGCAAACTTCTCCTCCTTCCAAAGAGCTATAGTGTAAACACTTGAAGGTTTCCTTGCCTTAAGTACCACACCACGTTGAAGGATATAACTTTTGATCAAACTTCTTGATTAAAAGGGGGTAGGTCAACTTTCTTACAAGTTGATCTTGCAAGTCCTATTGTTCGGACCTTGCAGTTGTTGAAGAAGCGTGACCTTCGAAGGAACAACAAAGCCAGCACGAGTGCAGTAGCAACATTGGCCTTGCGAAGATATACCGTGCACTTTAAGTGTGTTCACATTAACAACCAAGTAATAAGTTGTACCAACTACATAGTGGATTTTGAGGACGTAGAAGGATTACCCCACCTTCGAACCTCGTTAAAGTTTGCGTGTCTCTCTCCTTTATCTTTACTCTTACTTGCAATTATATTAACTGTGAAAACTAACCCATCCATATTGATTACTGCTCATACTACCCACCAAATTCCGCACACAATCTATAGTTCACAAGAACTCTAGATTAACACTCATTTTCACGTTTTCAAAAAGAAACGAAAAAGTTTTTAAATTTGTAACAAAGTCTATTCACCCCCCCCCCCTCTAGACTTTGTATATCACCACTTTGGGACCACCAGTCTATCAAGGATAAAAGGAGGGTTTCGAATTATCTATAACAAGTTATAGCACTTATATGTCTAGGATCCTAAGTCTTATTGAAGACTAGTGGGAGCACGATAAGTATGTTGCATATCATTGACAAAATAAATTAAAACTTATTAGTCATGAATGCAAATAGTAGTTATGTGCTCAAGACTAAAGATTCCATATAGATGGAATAATCTAAGACCAGTACATACATGGAAGTTTTTGAGATTTGCATGAATCTCAAGGTAAAGCCTTTTTGGAGACTCACTCTGTAAAAGGACCGCATGGAAATCGTTCCATGGAGTACCATGAGATATGGACTTGATTCATTCTAAAAGGATATATTTTATATATGTCTAAGCCGAGCTAAGAGTAGTAGTCAACTTTGTAAAAGTTAACTTTTGATTCTTAAGAAGAGACAAAAGAGTATGGTTTTCTAAAATGGCTTATGTGTGAATGTTACACACAAAATAGCTCGTTTAGAACAAACATAGGGTAGGTTGAAATTAACAAAACATATATTGACAAGTATTGACATGGTGTCATACGCAAAATAAATTTGCAACTTTGGAAGTAGCAAAGAGGAAGATATTTTGGTTTTGTAGCTTCTCAAAAGGATAGCGTTGCTCCCAGCATAAGAAACAAATATGTCGTTGTACTGACAACGATAGGGTTACTACAGGAGCTAAAGAAGCTACACCTAGAAACCAAGACATCATTAGATCTCACCACATTATACGAACAGTCGTAAAATGAAAGTATTAAAATTTGCAAGATAGAAAAGGATAAACAATCTCTTAACCTATTGACCTAGGCTTTGGGAAAACCTATACACGAGGGTCACACTTCGTGCATAAGGCATACATGGAAACCATAATTGGCCTTAGTGCTAGTGGGAGATTGTTGAATATAAGTGAGCCCTAGAGGCCAACTTATGATTCCATATCTATAGTATATCAAGAATATAGGCCTTAAAGATTGTTTAAGTCGTCTCGTGTGATTTAAACATAGCTTTAGTCCATAGAGTAGGCGCTCTAGTAACATAGATGAGAACTACGACGTTCTAATTATGAGGCTGTTACAAAGATAGAGGCTACGTCTAAAATATCCTTAGTCGAATATTATGACAATACGGACATCATAATATATCAAGACTAATACGTATGAGATGAGATAGCTGCGTCTCATAGGCTATAGATAAAGTGTTATCTGAATCTATACGTAGGCAACCATATTGGATATGTTGCTGGATTGACCCGGTATGAGAATAATATATGGGTTTGAGTTAAAGTGTTAATATTATTCTCATGCGACCATTAGTATAACTATCCTTTGACTTGAAGTCATTACATTCTCTGGTAAGTTGAGTTGTATACTTTGAGGCATGATTTATGCCATCTGAAATATTGGTGGATGTACAGTTATGTTTTGGGTATGCAATGACACTTAAGCGAAGATGTGAATGACGTAGACAGAATTTATCCCTTCTTTAATGAAGTATAATATCTTAGGGCCCACTGATTGATGTGACTTGGGAAGTGCATGGCCATGCCTAAATAAATATGTTATTTGAATCCCAGAAGTCAATCGAAGAATCAGTAAACCATCGATTTAACTTTAACAAGGTGACACACCCCATACCTTGTGTTAAATCAAGATATTAGTGATAAAGGGATAAG